CATATATATTATTTACTCGATCTCCGATGAGGGTAAGCTTCTTCTCAGGATGTTTTATGATGCATCTTGTTGTATTGAAAGTAACTTGAAATCCAGCATCACATAGTTGGCTAACGCTGAGGAGATTGTACTTGAGTCCTTCAACCAAGTATACTTCAACTAGATCACAGGTAGAGCTAAGGGTAATAGTTCCTGCTCCCGTAACTTCTCCTTTTGCATTGTCCCCAAATCTTACAAAGCCTCCATCAATTTTTTTTTTATAGTTTTGAAGTTTTCTTTCTTTCAACACATGTATCTGGAGCATCCACTATCTAGTACCCACATTCACTTTTTGTAGGTTATCTTAGATTGCTCCTGCTAGATAACAATATTAGTTTCTTTTAGTTACCCAAATATTTTTGGGTCCTTGCTGATTAATAGCTTTTGGTCTCCAAATCCATTTTCCAGAAGAATATTTTCTACAGTTAAAGGATTTATGACCAAGGTCACCACAAGTATAGCAAGTAATTTTAACAGAACTTTCAGAAAACTGATTATTAGATATATATCCATTTGATCTATTAGAACTAAGATTAGTGGATCTTCTCTTGTTAGAGATAGTTCTGTTACATCTAACAGAGCTGTGACTGGGAGATTTCCTGATACTGTTCAACTGCATTTTTACGTCCTATAGTTCTTTTATTAGTAAATCAACTTCAATGACTTGCATCTAACAGAATTTTCCAATCTTTATTTTCTTGAGAAATATTATTGTACTCGTCAATAACTTTCTATAATTCATCCGCAACCATATCCCAAGAATTGTGTAAGTCATTGCAATTTGATGAGTTAAAAGATCTTACCTCACTTGTCTCACCTAGTGCCATGAAACATAGGTTAGCCATTTAATCATGATCACCGTCAGTTATTTCTCCTTGATCCTAGGCTCCGAGACTTTTTGGATCTTCATTTCTTTGATTCTTTCTTCTTCTCCGTTCAGGGCAATTTTGTTTGATGTATATTGGTTTTCCACAATAGTAGCAACGATCATCATTTCTCTTGAAGTCGTTGTTCTTAAGATCCTGTTGAGGCCTCTGTCTTCTCTGTCTAAGTATTTGTCTAACTCCTTGATTTATAAGAGCCATTCCTTCATCTTGATTTTCATCAGCTTCTTCTTCAATTTCAGTTCTCTCGGCTGTGAATGCTACCGTATTCTTTTTATCATCTTTGTTGTACCTATTAATATGGTTCTTTTCATAGGCCATCAAGTTGCCTCGAAGTTCATCGTACGTCATTTTCTGTAGATCTCCATCTTCAAGAATAGGAGCTTTAGTTTCCCAAACTTTAGGAAGACTTCTAACAAGTTTGTGACTGGTAGTGCATTTGAATACACCATTCCAAGCGATTTGAATTCGCAAACAATTTTACTCAATCTAGAGAAAATGGCTTCCACGTTCTTGTTTTCAGTCATTTTGAACAGTTCATATTAATTTACCAGTGAACTAATACGAGCTTCATTTACCTTTGTGGTTCCTTCATAAGTTACTTCTAGTTTGTCCCACATTTCTTTCGCAGTTTCTCAGTTGATATCGTATCACATTAAGCTCCACTCTCTGCACATTATAACAACCTTATAGCTCTAGCATTAGCTTGAATTACCTCTTGTTGTTGTTTTGTGATATCGAATAATTCAGGATCAAATGGCTTCTCAGTGCCATCTTTATCGATAAGTCCAATAATAGGCTTTGGTACCTTCTTGATCACTAGCCAAATTTGATGATCATTTAAAGAGACAATGATTCTGAATCTATCTTTCCAGTGAGAGTAGTGTTGTCCATTGAAGTATGGTGGTCGATGTGAAGAATGTCCATCTTGAAGTAGAGCACCAGGAATCTGATAGTGTGCCATTGGATCTTTGCTCACGTGTAGTTAAACACTTAAATAGTGAGACCTACTTTGATACCAATCGAAAGTCAAGAGGGGGGATGATTAAAAATTCTTTCAGTCGACTTCCTCTGAGGAGTAGTCGACTCACATTCACGTTAGTTCTACAATATAAAACAAGATAAGATGCTGAAAGTAAATTGATATATGATGTTTTAATACTGGTTAGGAATATCGATGTGGTGCCTATTCCAGTGCCCTTGGGTTTCAGGGGTTTCCTTTAGAGCTTGTTGCGAACTTGGTTGTACAGAAAGTTTAATCTTCAAGTCCTGTCTGATATGTAAATCAGAGCTTTTATGTCGATTGTACCTCTACTTGTATAACCTACAGTCAAAATCTTTCCTTCTCTTTTTGTTTTACAATTGTTCACTATCGTGTACAAAGCTTTATGAAAGATAAAATAAGATTACAATATAAGTTCAAGTGAAGTTGCGTAAGTTTGTCGTTTGTCCAAAATTTCATTTATAGGTTGAGTGTTGAGGTGACTTTAGCTCTAATAAGAAAACCAAGGGATTTTCCTTCAATGAAGGATTTGTAATGATTCCTTGATTGAGATATTCAGGTCCTTGATTTGAGATACCAATTTTGACTTCTGCCTTGAATTAGAAATTGGTTAGAGACTTTTGCAATGTTCCTTCGAATCCCAGTGATCTTATGTGATCACTGTGTTGATTCTTTGATACTCCTTGCCATCTTGAGCTGTTGTCTCTTTCGTTTTTCCTTTTTGGCTTCTAGTGAATGGATATCTGATTGACTCAATATCCATAGAAAGTCATCTTATTGATTTGCCTTGCCATCTTGATTGTCTATCAGTTTTGTTATTTCCTTTTTGGTTTCTCGTAAATGGACATCTGATTGACTCAATATCCATTTATCTTCCTTTGATGAAGGTTGCATGATCTCCAAATCTTCTGCTCTATGAATCATTCCGTTGATTCATTTAGTTTCCTTCTTCTGTAGGAATCCATAGATTTTGCTTTCCTTGATTTCCTATCATTATTCAAAATACATCAAGATAACACTTTAGTCTGTTCATATACCGCGAAGAAAGACCCTATGCAGGTGGTGCTGGGACCAGAACCTGATCTGGAATGGGAAGAGGAGCAGTGGCCTGGGGAGTCCTGATTCTAGACGGATCATTCAACCTTTCTGAATGCAACTCAGCTCTCTTGGCAAATAGTAGCTCATCATCCTAAGGCTTATAAATGGTAGACTGAGGATCCTGATGCTCACCCTCACTCTCCTTTGCTATCGGAGCTGACCTCTGGTGATGCAGGAGCAGGTGCCTTTTCTTTCCCTTTGCCCTTCCCACATGTGGTAGGAAACTTTGTGGCCTTTACTTTTGATACAGATGCATCCTCATTAATGATGATTCCCTTTGCCCTCTGGCAGGGCGTCATGTCTCGATCTGCTACTTTTGGTCTAGCCATATCTACAAAACACACCATAAATAGTTAGAAATAATTCAAAAAAAGTGCAGAAATCAGGTTGCAGAAATACTCGCCAAACCGATCGGCGAGTCGCCGAGTCACTCAGGCGAGCGAGATTAGGCTCTCCGTAAGTACTGGCTCAAAAACTTCCCAAAAAAATGGCATGTCGGTGATGAGAAGGGCATTATGATGAATCGTCGACCTCATTCGGTGAGCACATACTAGCCCACCAAAAGTTACAGTATAGTTTAGGGCTTTGGGGCACAGAAAGGGTGATCAAAGAAGACTTTCGGCGAGTCACTGAGTGTACTCCTCGAGCTCAGGATTTTCGCCAAAAGTTACAGACCCAAACTCAACCAAACCATGATATTGAGGGTGATCTGGAGGGACATTGGTGAACCGCCGAGTGGTTTGGCGCGCTT